CATGACTGTAGATCTTATTGAGCGATAGGCTTCAAAACAGTCTCCCAGCATGAAAGTCTTCAGAGCTGCTTGTCCTCCATCTCTTTCCAGTCTGCACTAGTTTGGAAGGCATTTAAAAGCTTTCACTCATCTGCTCTAGTCTACTTTTTAACACTGAGGGACAATCTGTTTGATAGGACAGCGATCAAATACAGTAGTACCTTTTTAGCATATCTTAGGCCTCTCGTGGGCTAATATGAAATTTCCCATTAACTGAAGTTTTAAATTCAGGCATAATTTTGAATAAATTTATCTGCCTACCTACCAACCTATCTACTTACCTACAAACATTTGCATTCATTTGAAAAAAGTCAATAAGATTTTTTTTTTAGTCCTGTAAGTTGAAAAACACACCCTTTGTTCTGCTGGATCATTGCTTGGAAAAGAATAGATTCAAGTATTTCTTCTCCATTTAAAGGACAAAAATTTCAAAATATAAAACCAAACGCTTGAGGAGAAAACCAATAATCCTCTTTAAAAACCTTGATTGAGGGCCTCCCTGGTGGCACAGGCAGTTGAGCGCAGCGCTGTGAAGCTGTCCGCACCTCTGCAGTGCCGGATCGATTCCTGCTGGCCGCAGAGCAACCCACATGGCGCGGCAGACCTCTCCTGTCTCACCTGCTGCTCCCCTCAGCAGTGTATTTCGTCAGTCTGCCTGTTCTGTTCCCCACTCTGTCTCTGGTGAATCCTCTCACCCTTGCGCGCATCTGGCCTGTACCCGGTTCTTGTATAAATAAACAAATCTTTAAAAAAAAAAAAAAGTTATCCTCTAGCTCAAGACCAGAATTTAAAAAAAAAAATAAAGACCTTCATTGAAAATTTTCCTATTGGAGAAATTTATGAAGACTGAATGTTTTACTTCTAGTGCATACAATTTTTTATTTTTCTTTTGAAACTTATAGTCAGCTCTAGTCAGTTGATTACCTCAAATTAAAGTTTCCATGATCTGTTTTCTTTTTACTACTGAACTATATAAAAAAGGAATTTGTACTTTTCAAGATGTTAAAATACTTGAAGCATAAATGCATCCGGTCATTGTGGGCAATGCTAAGTCATCCTTCAGAAGTCTCTGCATTGCTTGAATACTGTTTGCTTTGTATCATTGAGCCTAAGAAAGCACATCATGCCTTCAGAACAACAGTAAACAAAAAAAGTGAAACTGAATTTCAGGGCTGTTTTGAACTATCCTCAGGATAGTTCTCTCTCCTTGGGACTAAGGAAGCAGAGAATTTTTGGTTTTCAAATGGCTTGGCTCAACATTTTTTGCTGTTACTGGATGGTGGGTTTGTTGAGCTCTGATATATCCTTCTATGCCCAAGTAAGGTTTATTTTTGAGAAACGAAAGAAACCAATCAGTCCTTTAGAAACAGTACATGTCTTGCTTTTCTTTGGAAAGTGCATAAGCAGTTTTGACTGCTCTTGATGTATAATTGATTTGAATGTTTATTTTGAACAACATGAGTCATCTACTGAAATGTTAGGCTCTGAGCTGGATTCTCAGTGAGGACTTACTGTTGGGATTCTCTTTTTACTTTTTGATGCATCTTGATTATAGAAATTCTGGACATATAGCTATACACATATGTATGTGTTGGTATATCCCTTTAGTTTCTTTCCCTGTTCAACCTTCAGTGGCCATATTATTTGGCAAAGATTGGAAAAGATTTAACTTGGGTTTAGTTAGACTTGTACCTTGAAAGCAATGATTCAACAAATGAGGGTTATTAAATAATTTGCCATCCAGGCTTTTTTTTTTAAGATTTATTTATACAAGAACTGGGGTACAGGCCAGATGCGCGGGAGGGAGAGAGGATTCATCAGAGACAGAGCGGGGAACAGAACAGGCAGACTGACTGAAATACACTGCTGAGGGGAGCAGTGGGCAAGAGGTCTGCTGTGCCATGTGGGATTCTCGCCAGCTGGCCGGGATTAAACGTGAGCTGCAGAGGCTGAGGACAGCTTCACAGTGCAGCGCTCAACTGCCTGCACCACCAGGGAGGCCCCATCCAGGCATTTTTATGAGTCAGCAAAACAGTGTGCTGGGGGGGTGGTTAAAGGAAAAAAAAATTAAGGCACAGTTTCTGCCTTCTAGAACCTTGTGGTCTGGTGGAGGGGAAATGTATCAATTGTACCATATAATCTATAAAGCCCTCTAAATGCAACTGCTGGGGAGGTTGCAGTTGGAGGCCAGAATATGTACCAAGTGCTTTCACAGTCCAGATTAAAGTGGATTCATCTGAAGCTGAGTGCTTGGGAAAGACCAGTGGTAGCAGGGAGACTTCAAGGGCATCTTTCATGATAGGTAGTAAGTGAGGGAAATAAACATGCAGAGAGAATGTGGCTGAACCTGGCTGATGCATTGTCTTGAAAAGATTAAGGATTCAATTTTTTATAGGAAAAAAAAACCAATCACAGTTACAACAGCACAACAACAAAATTGTTAGTGATGGAGTGGAAATGGGCAGAAGCGTGGAGGAGGGGGCAAAGAGGAGCTATTTTTTTTTTTTTTTTTTTTTGTGAGTTATTCTTTGGCATTTTTAACTTTAATAGAAGATAGAAAATCTTTACAGTAAGCCACTTCAGACTTGATGAACACATTGTCCAAGTCATAAGTATTCTCTTGAGTCCTATAGATTATGAGGTGCAATGCAGATAAGTGAAGCAGTAAGAGTCAAGAATTTGTTGATTTCACTGACCTTTCATGTGTGGGAACACAATTCTATTAAGAACTATGTTCCAAAAAGCAGTTACGATTTAGGAACAAGGTGTCAAATTTTTTTTTTTTTTTTAATAAATTTTATTGTTATATTCCCCATACAATTGCAGCCCCCCCATTCTGACCCCAATCCCTCCCCTCCCACCCCCGCCCCCCTAAAAGTGTCTCTGGTTCATAGTTTTTTGTTGATTTTGATTTTCACTTTCTTATAGTTATTCATTTTCCTGGTCCCTTATTTAAGTTTTCTAGATTCCTGCTATGAGTGAGACCATCCGGTATTTTTCTTTTTCTTTTTGGCTTATTTCGCTGAGCATGATCCCTTCCAGCGCCATCCATGTTGCTGCAAATTGCATGTGTTTATCTTTTTTGAATGCTGAGTAATATTCCATGGTATATATGTACCACATCTTCTTGATCCAGTCATCTATTTTTGGGCATTTGGGTTGTTTCCAAAGCTTAGCTATTGTAAACAGTGCTGCTATAAACATAGGGGTGCAGGTGTTCTTTGGAATTGATGTTTCTGTGTCCTTTGGGTAAATACCTAGGAGTGCAATTGCTGGATCATATGGAAGCTCTATGTTTAGTAGGTCCAGAAATCTCCATACAGCTTTCCACAGTGGTTGGACCAGTTTGCACTCCCACCAACAGTGCAGAAGAGTTCCTTTTTCTCCACACCCTCGCCAACATTTGTTGTTGCTAGTTTTTTTAATATGTGCCATTCTCACTGGTGTAAGATGGTATCTCATGGTAGTTTTGATTTGCATTTCCCTGATGACAAGTGATGTTGAACATTTTTTCATATGCCTGTTGGCCATTTGCATTTCCAAAGAGGAGCTATTTGAGGTTGGGAAGTAGCAAGGCAGGGAGCCACAAGAAAGCCTTGCCTGGGACATGGGACATTTAGGTCTCTGTGAGCTGGGCTGCAATGCTTGCAGTGGGCATTATTAGTGTAATTACAGAGTGTGTACCTGAGCATTTTATATTAAGATATTGACCAGTAAATCCCTTGTGCAGATATCTTTTACTTTTCAAAACACAAAGTTTTACTCAACTGGAAAATATTCATTGAATTGATAAAGAGAAAGCTGAGCTTTCTAAGTGACTGCTTTCTTAACTTTTTTTTTTTGGTAGATCTCATTTAAAACAAAGTACTTGGGGGGCGCAGAATGGTCTGTGGTGGTGGAGTATGGGTGAGCTGATGGTGGGTGCACTGTGGCGGTGTTACTTAATGGGGGTACCCCAATGTTACCTCAGTTAAAAATATGGAAATAAATAAATAAAAGTAAATAAAACAGTGTTTAAAAATTACTTTGCAGCTTGAGAATATAACTTAGCAATACTCAAAAATATTTGCTACCTTGGACTTTTTTTTGAGGGGGTCATATTTATTGCATGTATACACACACATGTACCCCAGTTTTCATGTCTGCCTTGTAGAAAATAAATTTAAATTAGGATTTCCTTAAATGGGAAAGCCATTTCAAAAATACATGGACCCCTTCTTCATTTCAAAAGAATAGATTTCTTTTAGAACTAAACAACTTATTCTCTTTGATATTGAATGCCTAGCCTTATTAAGCAAGAATATATTTAAATCATTGTAGAGTGAGTAGTCATCTATACCTGAGTTTTGAGTAGATTTAGAACTTAATGCACGCATCAGATCTTTTAGGAATAGAAGTAAAATGGACGAGGATCAAATGTGTGAGCGTATTTAAATGATTTTCAAGATTTTCTGGTTCATGTGTAGAGATACTAAACTCTTTAGTTCTGGGCTTTAATTTGTGCCTGGTGCTGACCTGATGCTGTGCAGGGACACTCACTGCATCCCTTCATTCACTCCCTCTAATTATCCCCACTTCCTGGGGCGCTTGCTTAGAACTGAGCATGAGTGCTTGTTATTAAAATATTGGGCTCTCCTGGCTACATGTAACAGGGTAGTTTTTGATATAAGATTTAGGTATCTAGAAGAACCAAATAGGAAGCTGAGGTTGTTGACCGATTTTACTTAATCAAATTGGTAGGAAATTATTTGGTTAGATAGTGGAATAGGCTATACATGAAATCATGGTTAATATAGTCCCTGTACTTAATTGTTACATTGCTATTTTTAGTGCACATTCAAGAGAAACAAGCTTCTATAAATGTTATGTAAAACCTCAGTTGTGCAGTTTTGTGGGGATTTGCAGGAGATGGTAGTTCTTTTTGCTGGAGCATCTGTTAATGCAGAGATTTGTCTCTTCAGGTTCACGTGAAAATGGCGGACGAGGCTGTCTGTGTTGGCCCAGCTCCCACCAGTAAAAGCTACCTCAACATGGATGCCATCATGGAAGCCATTAAGCAAACCAGGGCCCAAGCTGTGAGTCTGAATGAACCTATCTGCTGCAGCTGCTTCATATGTAGCGAGCAGAAAGCCAGAGTTTGTATTTAAAAAAAAAAATAAGAAAGAATGATTGAAAATGCTGTTGCAGTTAGTTCATGGCACATGAGTTAAATGTGGCCGAATTCGCTACTGGAAATCAAAGGCTTTGCAGCATCTGGCAGTGTTGGTCTGATCCTGCAGGTGGCTGTTGGATTCAGCTTTCACACCAGGGAGCAGTTTCAGTTCATTTCCAAATTTGCTGGGGGAAAAAAAAAAAAAGAAATCCCAATTAGTTTTGAGTATTAACCCTTTCAGTGTAATAGGAGCATTAAAAGAAATCTGTGTTATAAACAGAATCCCGAAGTCCCCGACTTACATTCTATTTTAATCATTTAAAATATATATACATCTATTTACATAACAAAACTGTTATCTTCTGTGATGCAATTGGTAATTATTTCAGTGTGATAATGTCAGGAGAAGATCGAGGAGAGAGCAGTGTTTCTCCCCACCCCCAATTCCGTTTGAATGGAGTAGAATCCCAGGAAAACACTGGTTTCTGACATCAGGAATAGTGTTTTGTCATTGTTGTGGGTCTTTTTTTTATATATATCAGAGAACTAATTACATCTAATGTTAAAAACTATGCAGAGTTATCTCTAAAATTGGATGGAGGCAGCCAGCACCAGCAATTAGCCTGGAGTGCTTCAATTAGTGCTCACAGTCCTTTTGAAAGAAATGTTTTAGTAAGATGCATGTTTAAATAAAAAAGTGAATTCATGAACCCATATTATAGATGTTTACAGTTTATTAGCAGAGTTAATGAAGTTACAACTCTGTTAACCTTTTAACTGTGGCTTGTCAGAACACAACTCTTCAGTTGAATGTTTATGTAAAATGAAATTGGTGACTTGAAACTCTTCTGTGATGCAGGAGGTTAACTTATGGTGTACCATACTCATAAAGCTCAGCTCAGCCTTGAGAAATCTTGGGTATGTAATAACTTGGAGAGGATGATATTGACTCCCTCAGAAATTTGGCTTTCCTTGGAGCAGACTGACTGCTTATTAAAAAGCTCCTCAATGCTGACTGATAAGAGAGTGGCTGAATTTATGTTTAATCAGTGTGGTTGAGTCAAGAAATTGCTGGACAAGACCAGGATGGTAGAATTTAGCTTGTAGCAACAGAGACCTGTGAGAGGGCATAGCACACTTTGTTTGTGAATGACTGAGTTTGGGGAGGAGGATTTGAAGGGTAGATACTAGAAGAAAAAAATACTGATAATATTCAGAATACAAAGAAAAAGTAAAGCCGAACCTTCAGTTTAATTAGATTTGACAGAAACTGCTCATTGGATAGTGGCTGAGCAGCCATAGCAGTGACCTTAGGAATGAAATGTTAGAAGCTAGAAGCTTCTAGAAGCTGGGGTTTGGGAAAGTTGCAGTGCCTGGAATGGTGAAGAAAGGGGAATTTTAGAATTTTTCATCCCTCTTGGCAAAGGTTTCCTTTAACAAAATCTTTTGCATCCCCCCCCACCCCCCAACTGTTACAAAATTCTCCAAACTTGTGGCCAAAGTTAGCCTCAGAAAATGTAAATGTTTGAGCTGTGTTGAACAGCCTATGTGGGTGGGGGAAAGGGTGGGTGGGAGGATGAGCTGATGACAGCTGGAGGAAGGTGGTGGAGAGCAAATAGGCAGTGTCTTGGAATTCGAGTCTGTGCGCAGGAATGTGTGTTAGAGCTGATCAGCACAAACAATGTGCATTAACCCACTTTATGTATTGCTTTTCAAGGTTTTGCCGTATAATAAAATTGAAAGTGCTTTTTGTTTTCATTTCTAAGGTCCATCCAGGTTATGGATTCCTTTCAGAAAACAAAGAATTTGCCAAGTGTTTGGTAAGTTTGTAACGTACCAGGAACTGTTAACTTCCCTTTCAGAAAGCCATATGCTGGTGTGACTTTTGTAAATGTGAGTAGTGTTGAATTATAGGATTGTAATTGGCCCAATAATTTTTTAAAAATAATTTGTGGAGAGGGAAGAGCTTTTATCCTATAATCTAAGTCTTGAGTAGAATTGGGAACGTTACAGAATCACCATTATACCAAATGAATGATTAACTCATTCATTAAATATTTCACTGTGAAGCATGGAATTTAAAGCCAGAGTAAGGTTCTATTTTTTCCCCCTTTCACTACATAATGTGGCATTCAAGATCAAATCTTACCAACCCCTGTGTTTTAGAAAAAGGTTTGTAAAAATCATCTGCGTATCCTCTTCATTTCCCCATGCTGGTTAGGCAAATTAACCTGTTTACTACTCAACTGATTTTCCAGGTGTATTTACAACTACATTGTAGAGATTTTAGGTACTAAATCTAAATACTAAAATGATTAAAATTTAGGTACTAAAATATGATTAAAATTTTCTTAATTGAGGTGATGCTTTACTGATGTAGTGTTACAACACTGTCAGACTTGGAGGTATCAGTTCACATTTTAGATGTGTGTCACCACACCACACCCACCACCAGAGCACCCATAATCCTCCACTACAGTCCTTTGCGCTCTCCCCCTGCTTTACTCCCCACTCTCCCCTTCTCTAAAATATGATTTTGAATAGTTTGTGAATTTTTTGTTTATTAGATAAGTTATCCCTGGTATTAAATTATCTTAATTTATTACTCTGTCATTATCCTTTGTATCTGTAGCATATTTGTATTTTGTTCTTTCATGACTTCAAAATAATTTTGTAGATGAAATTTCCACTTAACATCCATAAATACAGTGTGGAGTAATTCTTAAGATTCTAGAGTTCTACCTTAGAATGAGCTATAAGATCTAGAGATTAAACTAAGATCTAAAGAGGTGACTTAAGACCTGCCCAATGGCTAATTGTGGAATGGGTGGAAGGCCCCACTTAATGGATGCAGATCCACCAGGTTGTGTGCATTGTATCCACATTTTCTTGCTTATATTTCTTTTGATTATTGTCTATTTTGAAAATTTTGTTAAAAATTTTTATTTATACAAGCACTGGGTACAGTCAGAAGCGCGGGAGGGTGAGAGAATTCACCAAAGCGGAGAGCAGAACAGGCAGAATGACCGAAAAACACTGCCGAGGGGCGCAGCGGGCACAGCAGGAGAGGTCTGTCGCACCATGTGGGACCCTCGCCGGCCGGGGATCGAACCTGCGATGCAGAGGCTGCAGGCAGCTTCACGGCCCAGCACTCAACCGCTGCACCACCAGGGGAGGCCCTACTTTGAAATTTTGACTGAGGTTTTGTCATTATGCTAGAAAACGATATGAATGTTTGCTTACACTTAGAGGTACTTTTTTAATACAGTGTTTTACATCTTTGTTGGTGCAGATGAGTTTCTAAAGTCTGTGGGCTTGATCGACCCAGTATAGCCTGTCCCCTGATTTTGTAAATAGGTGTCACTGGAACAGGCCTGCAGGTTCCTCTACATGTTGCCTGTGGCTGCTTTTGCTCTGTAACGATGGTAGAGTTGTGTAGCTGTGACAGAGATAGATGGCCTTCAAAGCCTGAAATACTCACTTCCTGGCCCTTTATAGAAAAAATTTGTCAATTCGTGGATCGATGAGTACCCAAGTCCCAGAAAATGAAATGACGTGGCCACATATTCATACATGATGCATGCATTTATTTTGGACATGCTTATTTGGTGCCTGTGTTCAAGGATTTTTGAGAAGGACGTAAAGATGAATCAGATGTGGGCCGTGCCCATGAGAAGTTCACGGCTATGTTGTGTGACCAGTAAGTCACATATACAGTGACTTCAATACAGGAAAGAAAATATTGTGAAGAATTCAGGTTCTCAGGAAATGAAGGTAAATGATAAGACGAAGTTTAAAAAAAGGTGATTTCCCAAAATCACAGGCAACCTATAAATCAGAGATATTCTGCAGGGGAGGAGGAGGAAGAGGGATCAAAACAGGTGTGGGAAGAGCACAAGGGACTATGGTGATGGTGCATGGGGAGTGGGTGGTGGAAATGTCATGGGGACTACAACAGAGAGGAGAAAGCAAACATTGTACAAAAATGAAGAATGATGTAAAAAAATATATAAAATTGAAAAATGTGATTTCCATCTGAGGTTTTACATTAGAAAGAAGAGTGACTTTTCTTTCTAATCTCATCTCCCTTCATTTTTCTTGATCAGCACTCTGCCTCCTTCTAAAGAGAACCATACTAATTTTTTAAAATAGATTTATTTATTTATTTATACAAGCACTGGGTACAGTCAGTAGCGTGGGAGGGTGAGAGAATTCACCAGCGTAAGAGCGGGGAACAGAACAGGCAGACTGACAAAGTACACTGCTGAGGGGAGCAGTGGGCGAGGCAGGAGAGTTCTGTTGCGCCATGTGGGACCCTCGCCCTGCGACCAGGGATCGAACATGCACTGCAGAGGCTGCGGTCAGCTTCACAGCCCAGCGCTCAACTGCTGTGCCATGAGGGGAGGCCCAGAATCATACTAATTCTTAACACGACTGCTCTTTCATGTTCCATGCTTTTACTCACTTATTTTTATTTTTTTATTAAAAATATATTTATATTAGGGCCTCCTTGGTGGTGCAGGCGGTTGAGTGCAGCACTGTGAAGCTGTCCGCAGTCTCTGCAGTGTGGGTTCGATCCTGGCCCACCGCGAAGATACCCATATGGCATGGCAGACCTCTCCTGTCTCGCCTGCTGCTCCCCTCAGCAGTGTATTACAATCTCTCTGCCTGTTCTGTTCCCCACTCTGTCTCTGGTGAATCCTCTCACCCTGCTGAACATCTGGCCTGTATCCTGGTTCTTGTATGCATGAATAAATAAATCTTTAATATATATATATTGATAGATAAATTATTTGGTATACTGCTTTTCATATTATGTTAAAATTGTTTCTGTATTTTAATCTCTTAAGAGACTTGGTCTTATCAGTCTTTTTTTCCCCTTTGTTATCTCACTTAAGGATCTCCATGTAGTAAATTCAGTGTTATGGAAGGATTAGATAAATATTATTGATTAATAATTAGAAAACAATCACTTTCAAGAGTACTTCCTTATAACAAAAAATACCTGTTCTGTGGCTAGAAAGCAGCATTGCAGTGATTTTGGTTGCTATGGAAATATGCAAGTGATAAATAACCACATTCTTTTCTCTCTTTTGCATCAGTGCAAGATTATTATTTGGAATATAATTAATTTTGTCCCTAATATTAAAATCTTTTCCCACTGGAGTTTACATTCAAAATGTTCCTTTTACAATATCTAGCCAGAGTTGGCATGTTCCTTAAAATAACAATGAAATCAAGTTGCTTGCTTGTTAGTGTGACTGGTGACCAGCCGTTGACTATTGATAGTTATTATCTCCAGCTGGGTCTTTCCTTAGAAATCTGATCATTTTCTCTGTCTTGTGATAGATTACCATGTTGGTGGCAACTTCTGGCAAGAAAGACTAGCAGAAAATTAAAAACTTTTTTACAGTTTAATGCTGAGTTGCCTTTATTGTAACACTGCATCTTTTGTTTGACATTTAACTAAATATAGAGTTTTTTCATTAATTTCTGGTTTTATAATTTTCTGGCAGTTCAAAGAGGAGCATAATTTTTTTTGTTTATAAAATTCTTTGTGCTTTGTCACCTAGGATATTGTTTTTTAGCTTAGCTATGAAAAGAAAGATTTGTTGATTTTTTTCCAAAAAATAGACTATGTATTTGCTTTAGAAAGGTATACAGTACACCAAATGCAAAAGCATAGTCAATTTTATAAATCTTTATATGACTATTTTTAATTTACACAAAATGAAATCAAAGTATACACACTTCATGATTGGAATGAAATTGTATCTTGATATTTGTTGAATTCATGGGAAAAAACAAAGTTATAGAAAACTTAAAATGAATAGCAATTTTCAATAATTTTATTTTATTTTAAAAAGATTTATTTATGCATACAAGAGCTGGGGTGTAGTCCAGAGGTGTGGGGGCCGTGGGGGTGTTGAGAGGATTCACCAGAGACAGAGTGGGGAGCAGAACAGGCAGACTGGCTGAAATACACTGCTGAGGGGAGCAGCAGGCGAGAAAGGAGAGGTCTACTTTGCTATGTGGGTCCGCTCCCTGGCTGGGGATCAAACTCATGCTTCAGTGGCTACCCATAGCTTCATAGTGCTGAGACTTAACCCTTTACCCCACCAGGGAGGCCCCAATTTTCAATAATTTTTTTTTAATTTCTCTAATGGTTAGATTTTTTTTTTTTTTAAGATTTATTTATTTATACAAGCACTGGGTACCGTCAGAAGTGCGGGAGGGTGAGAGAATTCACCAGAGCCAGAGCAGGGAGCAGAGCAGGCAGAAGGACCGAAGGACACTGCTCTGAGGGGAGCAGTGGGCGGCAGGAGAGGTCTGTGTGCCATGTGGGACTCTCCTCCGGTGGCCGGGGAGCAGCCGGGGATCGAACTGGCGCTGCAGAGGCTGCAGGCAGCTTCGCAACCCAGCACTTAACCGCTGTGCCACCGGGGAGGCCCCAATTTTCAATAATTTTAACATGTTAAGCAAACATTTTATTTCCAAACTGAATTCTAGTCTTTATTTCCCTCAAGGGGTGCCTTGTATTCTATTCAGCAAAGGAACAGCCGTGGAAGCTATGAGGACTGTTAGAATTAAGAAGTTTATAAAAGATCTTGGAAGAGTAAAACTACGTGCTGCTGGAAAAGGGGACATTGGTTTAAAGAGCTTTCATAGTGTTCCTAGTTATCTTTTTGATTATCTGTGTATGTTCATATTGTAACATATTTTAGTGCAGCACAGCATTGCATGTTACAGTAATTAGTAATTCATGAGAAATTCATGTTAGATTTAATGAAAACGACTTGTGTTTTGAGTTTGGGTCTTA